CCTACTGTGGCCTAGGCTACTAAGCCTAGGCCGTACTCCTACTACTTCTGATACACAGCGCCAGAGGCGGAGGCTACCGAACGGAGGTTGCTCTCGACGTTCTTGAGTGCAGACTCAAGGACCTCAATAGTGAGTTCGCTAGGGTGCTTCAGAAGAAGCGCGTCGCGAACTGTGGCAAGGCGGTCAAGGGAGCTAGTGACGATGGAATAAATAGTAATCACCATGGTGGGGGGGAGAAGTGCAAGCTGTGCATAAGTGCAGGCAGCGCGGTAGCTAGAATCCAGCGAACGCATGTGAGCGATCAAGTCAGCAGAACGCTTAAATGAGGCGAGGTCAAGAAATAGGAACGGGAGGAACATGCGACCGAGAGAGACAGTGGTGGAAGTGGAGTAGCGGGCCTTGATCGCAGTCAAGAACTCGCTAGCAGTGCGAACCTGGGTGAAGTGGGTCTCCTCAAACTCAGGGAGGAGGCTGCTGAGGGCGATGCAGGTCGCGGCATCGCGTGACTTCCAGGCTGTCAGGGCAGCATGCTGACATGCAAAACGCTCTCTGTCCACGGTGGTGGGGTCGGCGCCTAGGCGTTCAGGAGAAGAGGGCGCAAGAAGGTCACCGGAGGCGTGCGCTCAGAGGGATTCGTCAGTCTGACTCTGACTCTATAGCAGGCGCTGCGCACGGAGTAGCCAAATAGAAAACACCAGCTACCTTCGGCATCAAAGCGCAGGACCCTAGGCGTCGCCATTGCTGATGCGGAGGAAAGGGAGCTACTATTGCCACGTCTTAGTTTGGCGGAGGAAACCCTAGCTGATGGGGACGGGCAGGGCGCGACACGACGGGACGGGCAGGGCACGACGCGACGAGACGGGCAAGGCGCGACGCGACGGGCAGGGAGGCGCGACGGGCGCGAGGGGACGGGATGGGATGGGCAGGGCGCGACGTGACGAGCAGGGAGGCGCGACGGGTGCGAGGGGACGGGGTGGGACAGACATGACGCGACGGGACGGGCAGGGCGCGACGTGATGGACAGGGAGGCACGACGGGCGCGAGGGGACGGGACGGGCGCGACACGACGGGACGGGCGCAACGCGACGGGACGGGAAGGGCGCGTTGCGGAGGAGAGGGAGGCGCGACTGGCGCGAGGGGATGGGACGGGACAGGCGCGACGCGACGGGATTGGCAGGGCGCGACGCGACGGGCAGGGAGGCGCGACGGGCGCGAGGGACGGGACGGGCGCTGCGGATGCGAAGGGACGGGACGGGACGGGCGCAACGGACGCTAGGGTACGGGATTGGCTCTACGTGCGCGGTAGGCTCGGCGCAACGGGCGCAAGAGGCTCAAGAGTTACTGTATTGCTGTGGGTCGGGGTACATATATCTAACTAACTTTTGTACCCCAGATGACATGCCTCACTACAGGCTACACCATTTGATAATCTGGTATGTGTGCACCATCCCCAAGCCTGTTGGCGCATCAGCTGATGCGACAGCCGAAAACAACCCATGGTTTCAATTGAGGTTAGTCAAGCCTGCTTCCTTCGGCAAAAGCATTTCCAGTACACTTAGAGCGTGTTCCTACAGCCTCATATCAGGCAACCTCGTATCAGATTCGCGTCAAACCGCACTAAAATGCATCCAACCACACTCGAACACACTGAAGCATATTCAACTTTGCGAAGCTGATACGAGGTATATGTGATACGAGGTGTAGGAACGCACCCTGAATAACGGTTGGTTGGTTTGTGGCTTTTAACAAATATTGTAAATTGGTGCAAACAGTGTACAATCACTGTGCATGAGGAGAGTTCGTAACGCAAAGTTTCGCCATATTGAAGTTGCTGACTAGGTACTATTAGGTTTGTCATAAAAAAAAAAAAAACAATGTTGGTGCTTGCAATGCAACACAAGTGCATTGTTTTGTAACAGCCATCATGCCATCTTACCAGGGAAGGTGAGAGAAAGTGATTAAAGATTTCGTTGTCGATGGCACAGTCTAGCTGTGAGGCAGAGATCTACGCTGGCGCTATGGCTGCGTATGAGCTATAATAACTGACGTTCTTCCTTAGTGTTTTAAGTGAGCCGCCTCGCTCTGCATCCGTTCTGTTCACTGATACCAGGGCCATTACCCCCCCTGTGTCAGTAGTAGCCTTGACTAGAAGGCAAAGCGAAGCACATCCAGCTTCGGTACTTCCTGCTGCGCGAGCTACATCAGTAGACCAGTCATGTATAGTACACCTGGCCTAAGGGGCCAACACCGTTGACATCTTTGCCAAGGGCCTTACGCCTCGTAATGGCTGAAAATAAAGTACACTTGGTCCCCAATTACTTTACACTCATTATTGTCACAACCTAGCATATGTACCCCTAAAAGTGCGTGCTATACAGTACATTGAGAGTCCATAAATGTTTGGTTGTCTGCCGTATCAAATCAATGAACGATAGGGAGTGTTACTAAACAGAGGTTGCAGGCGTGGACTTATCGGAGACAGGTGTAATGGTTCGACAAGTGTTTTGTCCTCCCTCAAAAGAACTAGCGACCAAGCAAGATTCGGCTCTGCCAGCGCACACTTAGTGGGGCGGCAAGGTGCGGATTCTTGGAAATACAGTTCGTACAGCCTACAACCGCCAGCAACGTATCCAAGATTTGAGGCTTGACGCCGGTCATCCCCAGAAAAATGTATGCTGCTATGGTACATTACTACAAGTGGACTTTGATGCCGGTAGGAACATTGCACTCAACGGGAGAGTGGAACCCACAGTGGGCGAGGAGCTTTTTGCATAAGCATATAACCTGGATAATAGACCAAACCAGCCCTTTCCTGCCCGTCTGTCTGGATAATAAGCTGCCCTTTCCTCATTTACGTTCACAGCTACTACCCCTTCCGTAAATGAGACCAGATCCAGTCCAAGTACGATATGAATATTTCTCCACGTCATTCGATCGAAATCAATCGTAGAAGTGGCGCGTGCGCCTGCATTGCGTAGAGAGTGCTCCTTCCTGGAGTCCGCGGTTGTCCTCCTGCCGCTGGTTGCATGCCACGTCGATTACCTGCCTGATGCCCAACTGTTTTCCGGTCGTTGAAAGTGGACAAACGCCACCTGTAACTTTCGGCATGCAATCAGCATGATACACCGAAACTGCGATAATTCCACACCCAATCTTCACGACCTGGGGTACCTACCCTCGAAAAAACCGATTTCGAAGGTAGTAAGCAACCCTCGAAGAATTTTCAGGGTTAATGTAACAATCTCAATGCGAGCTTAACGCAGGAACAATCTGGCACTGGAATTTTCCCCGCTCACTCGAACTACAAAGTTCGAGTTTCGAAAGGCCTTGACCTGGTGGTTATTTCCTAATAGACCCACAATGTCGGGGCGTCCGTCTCATCAAACCTTTAACCATGTAGGGTGTCTGGGAAGAATCAAAGTTCAGGGTGTGGAAATATCGGAGAATAGGTGTATATTTCGGCGGAAAGAATGTTTATGACTTCCTTGCTCCACCAGCCCCAGGTTGCGCACTATTTCATTCTCGGCGGCGATTAATATTTTGCCTTTTTTTTTGCTGGGCAATGGATGTGAGAGGGAAACCGCAAAGGCAGAACTGGCAAGTGATTCCTCATTGCACACGCACGGTTGCTGCAATGGGGATCTGCGTGTAACGGCTGTGAGTGGGTGTAACCCTCTGATAAGACAACCTAGTGTTTGTCGCGACCCGATTTAGTGCACACAGTACAGTACAGTACAGTTTTCATTACAGTCAGACTGGACTGTGTGTACAAACCCTGCAGTGTGTGTGGAAGAAGGGTGTCAAGAAACAGATGGGCTGGCTGCTACGAATGTGAGTTGAGAGTTTCGCAAGCATTGGAATGGGTTGTCTCACTCTTTTTTTGTGTCTGCCCCGTGAAAATATCTCCGGAGTCACGTTTCCCAAGCACAATGGTGCATTGTGGATTCCTCCCGCAGAATCGCCACCGAGCTGATCTTATTGCGCGTGGGAGGTGTCCAACGGCACTGCTCATTCTTCTCCACATCTCACAGATCAAACCTGCTCCTGCAATCGAAGCATGACCACCCGCCATTGGTAACCAACAAGTCACATCGCATACGGCGATCAGATTACATAAAAGGTCCTCAGCCAAAGGCGGTGGCAATATAGCACATGTGACACAAGTGCGGGAAACTGCTGGTCCCCTCAGCTCCAAGCTTGCCACTATGCCAGCCGCGTTGGATCATAAGTTGTTCACCTAGGTGCCTTGGACTGACTTCTCAGGCAAGTACGCTGGCGAAGTGGTTGACAACACGAAACCCTTATTCGGAGCATGTGAACGCGCGGGAAACGACCACATGTTGCACCATGTAATAGCCAGCCTAAGTACGTAGAAGCGAAGAACTTCTCGAGGAAGATCTGAAGGGAAACAAGATAGTTGAAATTGTGTGCAAAAATTTCACATCGCGAGAAGCGCACTCCGTGAAGAATAGCTCCACGCTCGTTTCCTCGTGAATCCATATTAAAACTCTTTTTTTTTTTTGTAGCGCTACCTTTTTCAAGGACAGGAACATGACAGGTCCGCGAGTCGCGTCTCTTTGTTCGGCTTGAAAGCCGATCGGCTTGGGGCCAGACAGCATGGTGAAGCCGCGGAAAGGAACATGTGAGAAATTGGACTTCAGATCTGCTAGCGTAGTAATTGTGGATTACATCTCAAAAAGGCCACAAAAGCGACGTTTGAAAATATAATAGCGACGTATTCCAGGACTCAAACATGCGCGGAATAGACTGCGAATGGCACGATATGACCCGGTAGTGATGGATAACGTTTTTGGTTTTCCAGGCCTTTCCAGGGCAGTGGCGGCATGCACCATATCTCTGCCAGCGTCTGCCCACGTGGCTCATGACGTGTCCATGGACATGGATTTCC